TCATGTTCAACTTATTGCAAGACCAACTCATGGACACACATTTATCTTTTTTCTATAAAATAAGAGTGACGAACGAGCACACGGTCCACCTGATGGTAGTGGATGCGGTAGCTTATAGACACCTACATCTATCCTCGATTAAGAACAAATAGCAGATGCGTTGTCACCCCTGAGTGCTAACATGGAATGACTTGTTTCCATTAAAGAGGGTCTCCGGTACTCTACAATCGCCATACAAAACACAGCAACTTTAAGCGGGTGTTCTGTAAGGGCGACGTCTTTCCCAAGTCGAGCCACTTTACCCATTCGAGCTACAACCACAATATAGCTGCTGATAGGTTCCCACATACGTGAAAATTATGATCTAAAATCATTTTACCCAACAAGGTTTCAGGCACATGTGTGCGCCCAGCAGTAGACTTTTAACGAGCTGATTAAGAAAGATGCATGCGTGAAGACGTGCCAAGAAGTTGAGCATGGTTTTGGCGTCAATTTAATTGTAAGTAGTGTTCTGTCTACCCTTTTGTTTGTGCAAGTATACAAAATGAATTTTCTTATATAAAGCGTTAACTGAAACATGAAGCCAATCAAACCTAAAACTTTCTATTTTCCAATGCGTCAGAAGTTTAAAGAGAAAATATACAATAAGGCGTCATTAAATAATTTCTAAACTTTGGCTTTTTCAAAACCAAATTGACCCAAAAACGACATTATGTGAAAAGTGATATAGTAGAATTTGTTTGTGTTTAAGAGAAGAAAATATAAAAGAGCAACATCGTAGAAAACCCAGCCGAAATAATCTATCATAGCATAGAACAAATTATAGGTTTATCGTAGATCTTTTAAGATTTTTATTTTTAAATTACGGAAGTAAATGTGTTGCTGATGAAGTTATCAGACATTTTTGCATTACTTATATATTTTCTGCATAAAATATTTTTGAAATTAGTTTCTATTCTGATATTTAACCCATATTTAAGTTTAAATCTGACGGAATGCATTATAACATTATAAGTAACAATAAAATGGCGGGAAACTAAAATTATGAGCAATGCGCGTACAAGATGAATAGAACTGTCAGTAACATTAAGCTTGCGTTGAAGTTTGAATAACATTGCATGGTGTGCAAAAATAGACATAATTTGTTAACAAATAAATTTTGTTGTGATGGCATATATTAATATGTTAAATAATTTAAAAAAATATGAAATCGGTTACAAGATCTTCTGCCACAAAGACAATCGTTTTAATATCATATATATGGAAAAAAATGCTTTGCAATAATTTGGTAATCGATTTTTTTGCTGGGATAATTTTTTTTTTCATTAATCGATGATTTCGTATTCTGATTTTTATACTTTAATACTAATATTTTATATTGTCTGATGATCATGAAGAATAATAATTCTAACGTTGCCTGCAACAAATAGTTAACAAGAACCATCGCGCGAAGGCGTTTCCACTACCAGTAGATTATTTTAATTTTAATGTTTTTTTTCCTTTTATCAAACTGAAGTGACAAATGAACTTACAACCCATTTAATAGTCAGTGGCTTCTGCAGTCTATGAACATCCGCAGTCATCTTTAAATAACCAACTTGAAAGAAGGCTACAGCTGCGTTGTCACATCTGAGAACTAAGAAGAATGCCTCACATCCTACTTAACCAGATGGAGCCGAAAGACGGGGTAGACGAAAAGGAGTAACTACCTACTTACCTGACACCTAGTAAATGTTAATGTTATTAATATTAAAATTTATTTCATACTTTAACGATATTTGTTTGAACACAACACTAATAATCAAATCAAAAATATAGGACGTTTTTTAAATAGCTCTATGATCAATGATTAATAAATGTAATAATCATACAGCATTTAAAAAAAATGATGTTAGTCCAAAAAAGTGAGTACTTCGCTAAAATGCGATCCTATTCATAGAGTACGCGCATTTGAATTATTTAGGTATACGGATCAGGTAGATGTAATAAACAAGTTAATAGCAAAAATATTCGTAAGTACCACTTTGATTGTCATTCCAAAAAACATATTATGTAAATTGCTTTTAATGTTAATCCTCATTTATTAAAAGTTTCCTGAGTTGGTCATAGTTGTAGTCAAAAAAAAAAGAAAGGAGGTAAATGATGAAACGAATGGTTAGTTGTTCAGACTTCTCTTTTCTATTTACAGGTCTTACTGTAAAGATATTTTTAATAAGCATTATAATACCATAATCACACAAATTAACTACGACCTTCTCGGGCGACTGGAGCGTTAAGCGTTAATTTGTCGATTTTTAATTACGTAATCTAAAATAATTCCCACGGATCTCACAGACAAAACTTTTTTGCCGCATAGCCTTAACAATATTTACCCAAAAAAGCCATATTTTATGAGCACAAGTAAAGGCAGATTACAGTCTTAATTATTGCTTTAAACTAGACGTCCTATATAAAAAAGGTAAAGTAACCTACAAGCTCTATGCAATAGTAAAGAAGTACAAAAATAAATAGTTGGTCGTTTTGATTTCAGTTCCGGAATGTGCGAAAATACAAGCGTTTTAAAGCAAAATTACGTTTAAACGGATTTAATTTATTGTATAGTGTTGTTTGTAGTAAAATGAATACAAAACTGAGCAAGCTATTATCACCTTCGTATGAAAAACTGATCCTCAAAATAGTTGTGTTACAATATACAAAAATACATATTTGGTAAAAAACAGTATACAAAAATGCCACTTACAAATCACTTAAGAGACTAGCTACAAATACATTTATATATGTACACATATTTTTTGGTAAAATAAAAAAAAACATACCAATCTAATCTAACTACTAGAAAAGGATATTCCCACAAAGACATACTTCTACAATATGTATCAACATAAATGTTGCCATTATGTTGTGCGAGTATTTAATTTATTTTAATCAACATTCTCTTTTCCATTTTTAAGGTGACATTTTTAGACCCATTTTTAAATCATGCATGTCAAGTGAAATGTATCACATGGTATCGCAGAGGGAGCGATGACGACGAAGGGGAGAATTGACGGTATCACTCTTATAAAGGTTACCGAGGAACTCTGGTTAGCATTAAAAGTTACAGTCTAATACGTCCCACTACTGGGCACAGGCCTCCCCTCATTTCTGAGAGGCTTTTAGGGCAAGGAAGTGTCCGTGTTGGCGAACTTCACGTGTCTTTGAAATATTTTTTTTCTTATTTCTTAGACATGCAGGTTTCCTTACGATGTTTTCCTTCACAGGCGAGCACGTGGTAAATCAGCACTTAAAATTGCAATTAACAATTCCATTGGTCACAGCGGGGATGGAACCCGGGTTGCTCGTGTGCTGTGAAATTTACAGCGAGCGCTAACCATCTGAGCTACCATGGCTCTGGTTAGCAGTATAATTAAGTTATTAAAATTTAAATATATTAGATTATTTGGACCCAACATCTATGATGGAGCATAGCATAGAAGGAAGAGATGTGTCAGGATTGTACCAAATCAAAGTCCATAGTCTCTGGCTTCCCCTCTGAGTGACAGGCATGACACGAGGGTGATTGTATGTTACGTACATTTCATCCCCATTTCTTTTAATTTTTAATTTATCTAATTCAATGTTTAAGGCATATGTTTCAAAATAGGAGAACAGGCATCCCTCAGCCATTTTATATTAATTATAGTTATCACATATTATATTTCTTTAACCCCACAATTTTTTTAAACTCGATCCCAAAAAAAAAACGACAAGCTATGGATAGTTCCCAATAATAGTAAAGATTTGTCGATTTATGCACAGACGTAACGCTATCGCGACAATATTTGGCGCCAGTTTGATATTAAAGATGGATTGATAAGCGCCAAAGATCTAAAATAAGATCTAAAAGATAATCTCGAGTTTAAGATCAAATTTAAAATTTGTGTAACGTGATATGGTATAGACTCAGATTGAGTTTATTACCACTTAAATTCAACATACATAAATTTCATGGCTCATTCATACACAAGAGCAAGTGCATAAACTAACAATTAATAAAATTGAAAACGCTAGCAAATTAACATTTGAGTATCATGATTAAAGAGAGCCTCAAAGTGATAGTAATGACTTATGAATCTTTGTAGAAATATCCCTGCTTTTAAAATTCCTTCACTGTAAAATTGGACAGAGCACAAAAATAACTCTAAAGTAACTCTACTTTAGAGTACAAAAATAACTCTAAAGTAACTCTACTTTAGAGCGAAAATAACTGGCCTGCTATACCTAATTTAGAATAAATTTAATCCTATACAATAATTATGGCATTTCATTGTACATAAGTAAGACAATTTTTATCTCGTTTCATTACCATTATGGAAATAGTGTAATACAATGTGATGTGAAATGTCCCATATCAAAAGCTGATAGCATATCATGTGTTGTGATAAGACTGAATCCTACAGAGCGTGCTATGTACTGTCAAATTAAATTTTCAGCGTTCATAGACTAGTGTGTGGTTATTATCATAACTGAAGTCATGGTCTGTAAAATTACAAAAAAAAATAATAATAATATTTTTCATCTGTATCTAATCAAATTGTTAAAATAACTTTATTAATTAATGTATTTTTGTGAAATATAATTTTTAAGAATAAGTAATTGAAATATAAGAATTTTCACTGTATAATATTTTTGTTGCATGAAATTTTATCACTTAAAAAGATGTATAAACATTATCGTACTTCCCTCTGTATTTTGTTTGATATGAAGTCTTTTGGTTTGGATGACCAGAAAAAAAAATATGTTAAAAATACGAGCCTATCATTGGCACATTTTTACAATAAACACATACTTGTTCTCAAACATTGAACAACCCATCACATACATTTGTATTGTCATTATCAGCTTAACCTATACAGTGATGTTGCTTGCTGCATTATTAGTACAGGTTGAAGCAAATGAGCATAAATATCTATAGGCAGTTAAAGAGTAAAAAAGGAAATGGAATTACCCTATCAGTTCCTTTAGTCGTAACTCTTGTGAAGAATTCTTTGTGCGGCTTTGATCAATGGAGTGAGAGTCTTCAACTCCATTGCACATTCAAGGAATGGATGCGCCAGAAGTTCATCCGCAGTCGCTCGTAAATCTACATCAACTTGTAGGCATTTGTCCAAGAAGTCTTGAAAAGCCGGTGACAATGATTCCCATCTTGGAATCTTTGGTCGGCCAACCGCAGCTATTAAATATAAAGCTCGGAGAGGAGTTTCTTTCATATATGGTGGTTCACCTTCAATCATTTCAATAGCCATGATCCCTAATGACCACACATCCACCTTTTTCCCGTATTGTTTCCTTGTGACAACTTCTGGCGCCATCCAATATGGAGTACCAACCATTGTCTGTCTCTTTTCATCGCCAACAATGTTAGCGCAGAATCCGAAATCGGTGACTTTAACTGTACCATCCATTCCAAGTAATACATTATCAGATTTAATATCTCTGTGTATGGTCCCTTTTGAATGTAAGAAAGCAATGGCCTGAAGAGTTTCACGACAAACGGCTGCGATTTGGCCCTCTTTCATAACTACTTCAGTAACAACATCTGTTAATGAGCCACCATCTAGTAGTTCCATGGCAACCCAAAGGTGATCATAGCTCAAGAAAGCGTCAAGAAAGTTCACGAGGTTTTTGTGGTGAAATCCTTTTAGCACATTAATTTCGTTAAGTATGAGATCTTTTTTAGATTGTTTTGTCAGGTCTATATCTTTGATAGCCACCCTGGAATTGTCCTTGCTATCTATAGCGATGAACACAACACCTGAGGAACAAACAAATACACATTACACTATAGTTACGTATGGCTTATGGAATAATAATCCTTTTATATGTAGGTAAACAGCAAGTAAATTGGTACAGTAAAAAATACTGCATATTAAGATAACAGACTGGAGTGATTAAGAGCAATTAAATTAATTATCCAGGTTGAACAATACTACAGGATGTCTTCAAATCAGATTTATGTCAATTAGAATCAATTAACTTTTGTGAACTCTAACAAAAGTAATTCTATGAAATGTTTTCATTATAATTGGAAGTTTTTTATATTAATACTTTATATAGGGTTATTTTGCAATAACCAGCCAAATTTGCAAAGAAGGTTCAGAATAAGTAATATATTCATTGGGTAAAGAAAAATTAAACCAAATCTCAAACATTCTGTTCTTTTCTCCTGACTTCCAAAAAGAAGACGGTACTCAATTCGACTGTATGTTTTTTTTATGTGTGTTACCTCATAACACATTTTTTTTTATTTGAAAGCTGGTACTTCTCGTGTGGTCCCATATGAATTTGATCCAGGTCAGACCAATAGTTTTTGAGTTATTCTCAATAACTTATATTGAAGTTGGCTGTACAAAATTTTAAATTTTAAATTATTATCTTTCAAAATGCGTGGTAATTCATTATTTTAACGGATTTTACTGCACACGCACACCCAAGGGTCGATCAGTAGTTAAAACGTTATTGCCCATAAAACACATTCAATTTGGGATGATTTCAAATAAAAGTAGAAGCCTTATTTACTTGTATTTTCAAAAACTAAAATAACGGTATATCATTACAGTAGAATGCGAAGTGTAAAACCATTTATAAACTTAATAAAGTTTATTTTATGTGTGACAGTTCATTTTTCTATATTACATACCAGTCTATGTCCGATTATCCGAATCGACCCTGGTCCTGGTGATTGATAATCGGCGTTCTAGTGTATTTATATATTTGAACTTAAGTTTAAAACTTGGCTACTCTTTGAAAAATAACCCTGTATAGCATTGTGTAGTTGTGGTGTAAGAATATCCACTACCCCATATCTTCCTGTGAGTGTTTTGAGAGGTGCAAGAGCAAGAGGAATAATTTATATATAATATAATATAATGAATATTGCTGCAGCATAGGCCACAAGGTCACCGACTCCTATCTCTAGAATTATATTTGACAAATAGTTATGAACATAAGAAAATGACTGCAAGGCATAATGATCACAGCATCAATTTAATTGCTAATACTACTAAAAATCAATATTAATAGCGTAAAATAGCAGCTTAATGCTGCTGTGTTTCGTACAGTGAGTGTAGAGAATCGGAGACCCTTTTTTACTGGAAACGAGGCATTCCATCTTAGTCCTCAGAGGTGACAATGCATCTGCATTTTGATTCGTAATTGAGAATAGATGTAAATGTCTATGGGCCACAGCAACCACTTACCATCAGGTGGACTGTGTGCTCATTAGTCACCCTAATACTATTAAAAAAAAATTGTGCAAAAACATAGTTTTACTAAGTATGATTGTAGTGTAATTATTTTTGTTTCTGATACTATATTACAACAGACTACCTACTATTAACAGTGTAATTACCGTAATCAAAATTAATTACTTATCTCATGTAAAACTCTTTTTTACAAGAATAATAAAAGAACCCTGTAAATTAAAGGAATACAAGTTAGGCTGGCTATTTATTCAACTAAACAGATAGTTGAGGAATGTTAACTATTATAAGTGAAAAATTTATTCATTCTGTACTATGATGGATAATATTACATGTCTTAAACTCATGTAATATGATATTTTTTTATGCTTCGATAATCAGACTGTTTGCTTGTTTTCCTCTTTATTCAATGAAATACGCTTGTAGTTGTAGAAGTCATTTTAGCTCCTTTTCAACCATGGTCACAACAGCATCAGATAAAAAATTATCAAATTATGTATTTTCCCTAATTGTAGATTTTTTCATTTTGCCTTTCATTTTCCGTTACTGCCTACGAAAAGTCTCCATAGATTGCCACATAGGGGGATATTTGCCATAGCTTTCATGTTTGGTAACTGTAGTTTTTTTTTAAATATTTTAAATGTTATTAGGAAGACGCTGCTGCCCAACTTCTGATTTATTCATGGGATGAGCTGGGGTAGTAGTGGATATTCTCACACTGCCACTACTCGGTTTTACCCAACCGATAATCGTAAAATTTCCATGACTGTATATTAATGCTCAGAGCATTCCCCATCCTACTAAGACCATGTAGAGATATGATGGAAGCATTCACAAAGTACTTATATCAGAAAAAATGTATGAATGAACAACGTTTATAATTGACTTCTTTGGGAATACCTAGTTTTTTATTACTAAGGAACAATCACATTGCATAAAGAGGCTGTGCCATAGTGGTGTATCTGAGAGACAGTATTTGCATCAAAATTTTATCATTCTCACAATATTGATGTTTGTGAAGTAGTTTACTTATCTCATTAATTTATATAGAATAACACTGTATTGTTATGTAATGTACAATTTTAATTACATAAATGACCTTTTTTTAATTTTTAATTTTTTCATTTCATTATGCTGTATCAAGGTGATTGTAGTTTGGCATGAAGGTGGTACTTGATGCAATTGATTGTCAACTAAATTCAATTATTTGGTGACTTTAAAAGAGTGAGTATTTCTTTCAATTATTGTCCAGACCACAGATTAACTAACAGTTACTATGTAATCCAGACTATCAATATTTAGTATCGATAGATACTTAACAGAGCGACTAACAAATTTCTTACTACACAAACCACCTACAATTTTTGCATTAGTTGACTCACATAACATTATGGCTTCATTTTGAAAGACTCATTGTTAGATTTAATGTTACTTTCTTCAGAAGATCACATTTCAGTTTCTGGACATGAAACCCCAAAAACCCATGAGTATTTAAGATTAGAATTGCTAAATGGGGCATTTGTTTAATTTTACTGCCACATTTTACCTATAAAATCTTGGTAACTGGTGATTCTTTTATTATTTTGATAATTTTCTGACTGTCACTAGTTTTACAATAATTAAAGATAAAATGTATGCTTACACCACATAATGTGTATTATTTTTAATAGCATATTATTTATAAATGCTGCTGCTATATCAATAGAATTTTGAATCAAGAATGTACAATTGGTGCCAGTTGATAAGCCTGAAGTGGTGATTCTTAGCACTTGTTGGATGATTGGGTTTGGTAAAACTTCACACTGCACAGAAAGTTCTAAGGTGTGACGTTAAAATGGGACAGTTGATAAAAGAAAACATAAGTTTACCCCACAAACAAGTAAAATTTGATCCACATGTAAAAAGCAATTGCATCTGACGTTTCAATAGAGTGAGTATTCTCTTTGATTTATCATCTTAAACAGAACTGCAATAAATAATGCTTTTTTGATCAAAATTGCCAGAAAATATGACTTTTATTTTTATCTATACATCTTGTGGCTCAGAAATTGTAAGAAGAATCAAAGGTACCAATACAAATGTGGAGCCAACACCGAAGATACACAGGCCTTCAAACGGACAAGTGTGTTCCCTAGAGGATATATGAGGTATCTAGTATTGTATTTGTCAAACACATGCCTGTTGAGTATATTGATTATAGGAAAATAATACCTAAGACCTTGTAGTTGCCGTGTAAGAATAGCCACTACCCCATATCATCCCATAGGCGTCATAAGAAGCGACAGAGGGAAACATCTCCTGGATGGGCGCAATCTTCCTAATAACGAAAAAAAAAAACTGCACTTTCCAAGTGAGGCAACTATGACAAATATTCCCCTATGAGGTAATCTATAGTGAAGGCTTATATTCAGCTGTGAAATTTAATAGGCTGTAATGGTAAAGGATACCAAATACAACAATTATGATGTTTTCCTTAATATTAATAGAATAAAAGTAGCATATATATAAACACAGTATTTAAGTGATAGATAAATAATGTATGTTTTTACCTGAAGCACCAGCACCAAGTTGCTTAACCCTCTCAAACCTTACATAGGGATCATCTTTATTACAAATCCTTTTCAATTCCTCATATACTTCTTCATCAGTTAATGCAGCATTCATCATCTCCTTCTTCCTTAGTATAGGACTCTCTTCCGACTCATTTCCAATCAATGTTAAGTCTTGAACAACAGCAGTTAAGTCAACCATAGCATCTTTTTTTTTCATGCCATGTTTGTTAGGTGCTGCAGGCATAGTTTGCCTTTGAGAGAACTTATCATTTGGTGCAACATCCTCCTCACTGCTCTGACCAATTGATAAATCGGAGTCTTGACTTTGGTGGGCATTTTTTTTATCTAATAATTTTTCTATCTCCAAATCTTCTTCAGTAATAGCTTCTTCTGTCACAAAAGGCTTGAACGGTTCGTCCAGCGCTTTTTCCTTCTTGATCGAGTACATGTGAAACTTGACGGCCTGAATGGCCGCGTCTGGGTTTTCATTTTGTTCAGCAGGTGTAATTTGTGTGTTTAATAGTCTTAACCATGATGCAGGTAGACCTTCCAACATACCCGTTTCTGAGTTCTTACTGACATGTATATGCTGTTTAACGTTCGTTGGCATTCCAATCTCAGTCGCGCGCTCATCCTTATTATGCTGCTTTTTATAAAACAGCTTCCTCAATACCCCGCGACCCGACATTGTGAGTTTAGTTCTCTTTTATACACTCGAAAACAACTAAGCCATCGCACACTACATACACTAATTTCGTATATGGAAAACTACATTTCCCGAACCAGAATATTTAAATTAAAACTAATTAAGTATCGTCTGGATAGGAGTGGCTAATCACGGACGGAAAACACTTTGTAGGCAGAAGACAGACTTTATCACCTGTCAAAATTCTGCCATAAAAAAGGTAAGTCCTTTACACGCTTTTGTAAGAGTCATATTAACGTTAATATTTGACTTTAGTATTTAAATAACTTGATACGTGAATATTGTATATGTATATATGTTTATATATAAAATATTTAATGTTATTATTATATTATAAATTAAATTTAACCTTTTAAAATCGCAAATATAATAAACATGATCAATCTTAAAAAGTTGATATAGGAACGTAACAATTTTTTTTTGCGTTGGCAGACTTGCTTGCTGATAAATAGGAATTTCGGATGATTCATTCATTGTCAGTCACGAAATATTTAATAATTTAATAATATGGTATTATGTTACGTTTTATTTACACAACGTTATTTATTTTGGTAAATACATATTTATATAGATATATGTAGAGACATAAATGTATTATTGACGCGATTTGGTCCCAGCTTTACTGGTAAGATCTACTATAACTACTGAGTCGCGAGTCTAAGGTTCGAATCTTAGCCAGAGCTAATTCTCGTTCGTCATTCTCCATATTATGTTTCTGATGCTGCATATAGGTTTATCTCTGATCTTAATCCCATTTATCGTTAAATCATAAACGATATAAAGTAAATTTGTACGTAGTACAAATTTACTTTTTATTTCAATGAAAATGAGTTGAGATACTTACTGCCAAAATAATCTTAGTACCAGACGCCAGACGTAAAACGCCAAGACCAGCGAAGGGCAACAGCGTCAAAGGTAGAACTCTGTGGTCTGGTACTGCGAAAGCCAAGTGTGGATATAAACGGGAATCCTCTCTTCAGCAGGAGAGGCCATAACCAGCATTAGTCTTTTACTGGCTGATGAATTAGGAGAAGAAAACGTACAGTTTACATATTAAAACAAAATTACCTTTTGCCTTTACATACAGGTCATCTTTTAGTTGTCTTCTCTCATTACAGGAGTTCGACAAGACTTCTTTTTTCTCATTCTCTCCTATCCACAATGTGCAGACATAAGGTTTAAAGAATTCAACAACTTAAAACGATTACTACCTAGTCTGCCTGTACGCTAGTCCTGAAAAGAACATGACAATCGATCAAACTATTTTACAGCGTACGATCTTATTATTCAACGCTAACGTATTCACGCAATTTATCCTCATCATCATCATAATCATCACTTAATTACCGTTCACCTGATGTCAATGGGATGCTGTGGCCCATAGACATCTATATCTCAATTAAGAATCAATATGTGGATCCGTGAGGACTAAGATAGAATGCCTGGTTAACAGTATAAAGGAAATCCTGGTCTCACCACTGACCATACGACTATGTTATGTTGTGCTGTGATTCATTAGTTATTTACCTACGAAACTGCCGTTATGAGTACTGGCCATTTCAAGTCAAAATAATTTTTGTTTGGTTAAAAATTCTAATTTCAAATTAATTTTATTTTAAAAACATGGAATTCTTTTTTCAAAATTAGTCATTTGTTTATTGATAAGCGTTATGTCTTCATCGCATTTGAATCATTTTCGTCAGCATGAATACGTTAAAAATTCGACTAATTATGGAATATGGGTATTGTTGTAGCAGCAACGCGGTACAAGCAGCACCTAACATCAACGACGTTTATGGAGTGAATACCACAAACGAACGCACCACCTGGTATTGGTTTGCCCGCATCCGTTCTGAAAATTTCGACCTGAAAAATGAACCCCGTGGTCGTCCAAAAACTTTGGTCGACAATGACAAATTAAAGACGATTGTAGAAGCTGATGATACTCATTAGCATCAAAAAAATATTGGTCCATTTGCGTCAAATTGACAAGGTAAAAAAGCTTGACAAATGGGTGCCCCACGATCTCTAAGATCGCCAGCGCGAAGTACGCGTCGAGACGTGCCTTGCACTGCTCAACAGTCACACAAGCGAAGGGATTTTGAACCGCATTGTTACCTGTGACGAAAAATTCATTCTGTTTGACAATCGCAAGTGCTCTGCAAGTTGGTTGGATCCTGGTTCAGCACCTAAACAATGCCCTAAACGCAAACTTACCCCTAGAAAAGTGATGGTCACTGTTTGGTGGGTTAGCACCAGTGTGATTTATTACAGCTTCTTACTAAACGGGACGAGCATTACTGCAGATGATGGAGAAGCTCGCACGTCTTTGGTCAATCACTTGTCCCCGCTGCTCCTGCACGACATCGCGTGACCTCATACTACACAACAGACGGTTTCCAAGTTACAAGAGGTGGGGTTGAAAGCTATTCGTCATTCGCCGTACTAACCAGACCTTACGTCTACTAACTGCAACTTTTTCCAGAATTTGTATACCTTTTTGGCGGGAAAAAAATTCAATGCCCTAGAGGCAGTAGGTACAAAATGCCTTTGAAGAATTTGTTGCCTCCCATCCAGCTGATTTCTTCAAGAAGGGCATCAATAAACTGTCACAGCGTTGGCAAAGGTGCATCGATTGTATGGGTGATTACTTTAATTAATAAAAATAAATAATACACAAAAAAATATTCTGCTATTTATATTATAAAAAATAGCAATTTCATAGGTGAAAGACCTAATATTCTGCTATTTTCTATCGACTTCAAACAGGAGGAGGTACTCAATTCGACTGTATGTTTTTTTTTAATGTGTGTTACCTCATAGTTTTTTTGAGTGAACCGATTTCTATGGTTCTTTTTTATTTGAAAGCTGGTGCTTCACATGTGGTCCCACATTTTGATCAAGGTCTGACCAATAGTTTTTGAGTTATTCTTAATAATTTAAATTGAAGTCATCTGTACAAAATTTTTAATTTTAAATTATACACAGACATTTAGTGCGAGCGTGGTCCTTCCCTAGTCGATCCGGCCCATTCGCCCTGCAGCTATAATACAAGGCGGCGTGTATTATATCTGCAGGGCGTGTCGTAGTTTCTTACGTCGTAGCACCATCCTTCTCGTACCTTTAATGCCTCATCCACACGCTTGGCAAACAACGGCGAACAGCAAACACCAAACAACAATCACGAACGTGTGGATGGTTGTTCGCCTGTTTGTTTGTTTGTTTGTATGTGATTGCCAGTGATCGGCGTTGGTGTCGGTTTTTATGCACCGATCAAAGGGTGTTCGACAAACGTGTTTGCGATGTATCCACACGTTTGGCGATCAGTCAGTAGTACGCGCGAGCTTGCGGCTTGCGGAAGGAGTTACTAGTGGCTATTATTATTATACTCTACGCCAATGTTACCAATCCGAAATTTGTCGCGGAGGTAAATATGATTTCAGAAGTTTAGTTTCCTAACAATTCTACTTCGAAAAGTTAGTAGATCTACCACCTATATTTTTTTAAGTTTTCTAGAGACCTATTAGATTTATTTTATTAGACTATTGGGTAACAAATATTTCACCTCTTTTTATAAGGAGCCCCGTGTGAAAGCAGTATCATTGATCATTAATTCCCAAAACAAAATCCGAAAAAAATATATAAGATCCTTATCCTATGTATCGATAAGTTTAGTATAAGTATCTTGATTTAATAGTTTTTAGACTTTCGTAGTTACACAACAAGGATTATAGTTTCGCCATGTCCGTCCGCGGTTTTGCTCAGACCCTAGGTGCTACAAATCAGTAATTTGGCACAGTTATAAATATTAATCACGCCTAGAAAACTGTGAAATAATATCTTAAAAACATTTTTATTTTAGGTACTTCCCATACAAGTAAATGGAGGATGATTTTTTTTACGTGTCTATTCTATCATGTGGGGTATCGTTGGATAGGTCTTTCAAAAACATTGGGGGTGTTCAACAACATCTTTTCGATTTAGGGGTCCGTTTGTGAAATATTTAGCTTTAAAGTGGTATTTTTCATTAGAGTTATGTCCCCCCCCCCCCTCTCTACCAACTTCACCGATGTTTACCGAAATGTGAAAAGTATACCCAATAGTAGTTTATATAATGCACTTAAAAGGAAAACTATCACAGCTAAGTAGAATCAAGAAGTTAACGAGTAATAGTTGACCAACTTATAAAATACACTTGGGTTAGTAAAAAATTCTTTACATTTTCATAGAAAAGACCTAAAACTAGCTGCATTAATAACTTTGTAATGTTATTGTAAGCTGTTAAAAATAAACATTTTATGAAGAAAACGGCGCATATGCATTACTACTAGTTTTGGCGAAGCGCTTTAAAATAGTATATCATTTTCATTCCATAAAAAATAAACAATTGTGCGTTTTGAAAATATTGCTATTAAAGTGTATAAGGCGCTTCGAATAAAGAGATAATCTATGTTAAAAGTAAATACATACATTCAATATAATGTCAAACGAAAGTTCGGGGTTCGATTCCCCGGTCAAACATTAATTTCATAAAAGTTTGGTTTTAGATTAATTTAGAGTAACGTGTTACATAATAATCAGCTATTCAATACGAATCAAAGCGTTCAAACCAAACTTATTTCAACCTGAAGACAATTTATAGCAGTGATAATTAACAATTCATTTGAGATTCTATGGTAAATAAATTCTTTAATAGAATAACCTTGAGAGCAATTCATATTGCCTTATTTTTAAATAAAAAAATGTCAACCCGAAATTAATCGCTGCCACAAGCTCGTCATCCGTCATGTTTGCCTATCCGGAATATACTAGCACGTTCGCCAAGCCTGTGGATGCCGTGTTTGTGTTGGGTGAATGTGGTCGGTGTTTGTTTGTGAATGGTGTTTGTGGCAAACACCAAGCGTGTGGAGGCGGCATAATGCTGTTTAAGATGAATATTTATCTACGGACTTCAAAAAAGAGGGATGTTCAATTCGACTGTA